CACTCTCTCTCCCCCCCAGACTATGCAGAATTCATTTTCTTGGGACTCTTTATGTCCGAAATGTTTATAAAAATGTACGGGCTGGGGACGCGGCCTTACTTTCACTCGTCCTTCAATTGCTTCGACTGTGCCGTGAGTCCGGCCCCGAGCGGGCCACGGCTGGCGGGAACGGGATGGGATGGGATGGGATGGGGCGGGGAATGGGACAGGGATGGGAATGGGGATGGGATGGGGTGGGGTGGGGATGGGATGGGGGTACGATGGGATGGGGATGGAGATGGGATGGGAATGAGGATGGGATGGGGTGGGGATGGGGACAGGCCGGGGATGGGATGGGATAAGGATGGGGATGGGGACAGGCCGGGGATGGGATGGGATAAGGATGGGGATGGGGACAGGCCGGGGATGGGATGGGATAAGGATGGGGATGGGGACAGGCCGGGGATGGGATGGGATAAGGATGGGGATGGGGACAGGCCGGGGATGGGATGGGATAAGGATGGGGATGGGGACAGGCCGGGGATGGGATGGGATAAGGATGGGGATGGGGACAGGCCGGGGATGGGATGGGATAAGGATGGGGATGGGGACAGGCCGGGGATGGGATGGGATAAGGATGGGGATGGGGACAGGCCGGGGATGGGATGGGATAAGGATGGGGATGGGGACAGGCCGGGGATGGGATGGGATAAGGATGGGGATGGGGACAGGCCGGGGATGGGATGGGATAAGGATGGGGATGGGGACAGGCCGGGGATGGGATGGGATAAGGATGGGGATGGGGACAGGCCGGGGATGGGATGGGATAAGGATGGGGATGGGGACAGGCCGGGGATGGGATGGGATAAGGATGGGGATGGGGACAGGCCGGGGATGGGATGGGATAAGGATGGGGATGGGGACAGGCCGGGGATGGGATGGGATAAGGATGGGGATGGGGACAGGCCGGGGATGGGATGGGATAAGGATGGGGATGGGGACAGGCCGGGGATGGGATGGGATAAGGATGGGGATGGGGACAGGCCGGGGATGGGATGGGATAAGGATGGGGATGGGGACAGGCCGGGGATGGGATGGGGACCGGACGGGGCCACTCCGCCCCAGGTTATCATCGGAAGCATCTTCGAGGTGATCTGGGCTGTTGTGAAGCCGGGAACATCCTTCGGGATCAGCGTGCTACGAGCTCTCAGGTTACTGCGCATTTTCAAAGTCACAAAGTAAGTGCTGCTCTGTCCATCCGTCTGTCCATCCGTCTGTCCGTTGGTCAGTCCGTCTGTCGGTCGGCCTGTCCGTGTCTGTGGGTCTGCGAGCGCAGGGGCAGTGCGAGCACGAGCGAGCGGGGGGATGCACGGAGCCATCGTGGGGTGCCAGGCTGCCAGGCGTCCCCGTGTCCCTGCGTCCCGTCGGGTCCCCGTGTCCCCTCGTCCCCCCGCCGTCCCCATGTCCCCTTTGTCCCCCCGCGGCCCCAGAGCCTGGCTCTGCCCTGCCAGGTACTGGGCTTCCCTGAGGAACCTGGTGGTCTCCCTCCTGAACTCCATGAAGTCCATCATCAGCCTCCTCTTCCTCCTCTTCCTCTTCATCGTCGTCTTTGCCCTTTTGGGGATGCAGCTCTTCGGGGGACAGTGAGTAACCGGGTGGGGGACAGGGCTGCCCCGGGACCACCCTGGCCCCCCAGCGTGGGGGTGTCTCTGTGCCCCCAGGTCCCTGCTGGGGGGCACCCAGCAGGGGTGGGACTCCCACTGGTGCCCCCCCCCAGGTTCAATTTTGACGACGGGACCCCTCCCACCAACTTCGACACTTTCCCAGCAGCAATAATGACGGTGTTTCAGGTAGGGACCCCCCGTGTCCCCCCCCGGGGCCCCCAAGGAATTGGGGTGCCGGGGGGTCCCCGCTGCCCCCGCGGCTCCTTCTCCCCCCCAGATCCTGACGGGCGAAGACTGGAACGCGGTGATGTACGACGGGATCAAATCTCAGGGCGGCGTCAAGGGGGGGATGGTTTTCTCTGTCTACTTCATCGTCCTCACCCTCTTCGGCAACTGTATCCTCGGGGCGCGGGGGCCCCGGGAGGGGCCGGGCCGGGGGGGATGTGCTGGGACCTGCTTTGCCTTGACGGGGCGCCCAGACACCCTCCTCAACGTTTTCTTGGCCATCGCGGTGGACAACCTTGCCAATGCGCAGGAGCTCACCAAGGTGAGGACCGGGGCCGGGGCCGCCATCGCCCGTGGCCTCGGGGCTGGGCTGGACACGGCGCGGGGCTTTGCAGGACGAGCAGGAGGAGGAGGAAGCTGCCAACCAAAAGCTGGCGCTGCAGAAGGCGAAGGAGGTGGCCGAAGTGAGCCCGCTCTCCGCAGCCAACATGTCGGTCACCATGTAAGTGCATCGTGTGCCCAGCTCCATCCCGGCTCCGTCCCTGGTTCCATCCATGTTTCCATCCCCAGCTCCATCCCAGCTCCGTCCCCAGCCCCAGCTCCATTGCGGCTCCGTCCCCAGCTCCATCCCCGGCTCCATCCCCAGATCATCCTTGAATCCATCCTTCTCTCAGTCCCCAGCTCCATCCTCTGCCCCACCGCCAGCTCCATCCCATCTCCGTCCCCGGCTCCATCCCCAGCTCCATCCCTGGCTCCATCCCCGGCTCCACCCAGGCTCCATGCTCACCTCCATCCTCAGCTCCATCCCGGCTCCATCTTCAGCTCCATCTTGGCTCCATCCCAGCTCCATCCTCAGCTCCATCCCGGCTCCATCCTCAGCTCCATCCCGGCTCCATCCCGTCTCCACCCTGGCTCCGTCCCGGCACACCTCAGGCTCCCCCGACGCGGGCTGTGGCTCCCCGCTGCAGGAAGGAGCAGCAGAAGAACCAGAAGTCCTCGAAGTCGGTGTGGGAGCAGCGGACGAGCGAGCTGCGGAAGCAGAACCTGCTGGCCAGCCGGGAAGCCCTCTACAGCGAGCTGGACCCCGAGGAGCGCTGGAAGGTGCCCTACGCGCGCCACCTGCGCCCCGACATGAAGACCCACCTGGACCGGCCGCTGGTGGTGGACCCCCAGGAGAACCGCAACAACAACACCAACAAGACGCGCCCTGGCGAGCCGCCGCTGGAGCCCCGCTTCGGCCAGCCCCG